TCAACGAACGTCTTTTGATAATTCAACATTTTTTTTTTTTTTCGAAAACTCTTTCAGCTACAAGCATTCCCAACCAACTCAAACCAGCTCAAGCATGACTTTCATTGTTGACATTGATATCAAGTGATGTAATAAGCGTGGAATATGTCAACATACGTCGTAAGAGAGCATGCCAAAAAGAACAAAGTTAAAATTTGGGTTGCAGAATGCGAGTATTATAAATATATATACATATGTATATGCATGGAAATAACCAAAAGTACGCATATGTATTTATGTATGCGCATATATTAACATACATACGAGTATATGCACTTGTAAAAGCACAATAAATTGTAATTTGAATGACATACACATATGTATGAGTATGTGTTTTACATTAATATTGTATATATATAAATATGTATCTCAAAAATGCCCCTTCATAACCGATGCGAATCAAGGGAATAATTGTTGCGCTCGAACTTCAGCAAAACCGCAATCAATGTGCTGAAGATTTCAAGAAATGCTTATCAATTCAATTCAATTCAATTTCAGTTCAAAAACAAAACAAAACAAGTTCACTTACATACTGACATACAAACATAACTCACACATTGTACATACTACATGCCAAGCAATATTTGATTTCCTTGTCTTCGTGATTCGTATTGATGTATGTATGTCGGTATGTATTTATTTCAATTGTATTTATTGTACAAAGTGTGTTTTTGTTTATATTGCTTACTGATTTATTATTATTTTTTTTTTGCACTTTTCTTCTTTCAATTTTTTTCTTTGTTTTCGTTTTGTTTTATTGCTATATTTGGGAAATCAGCCGGCAAATAAAATCGTCAGCTGTAAAATACTTGCGCGAAATTCCGGAATTTCATTACTTAAATGATGCACAATAATGATACGTATGTATGTATGTATATAGATTGTATGTATATATGTACAAACATATGTATGTATGTAGATTTTAGCGTACCACTTAGTATATATATATGTATACATATGCAGCGTGCACCAACATGTGTAGATTATGATTATTGCTGACGTCAAAAATGACAAAATCTTCTTCACACAGCAGTGATATTAAATATTTTAAATATATATGAACACACAAACAGCTATATATTTATATGAATATATTGACTTGTTTGCTTGCAATAAAGTTCTTATATTATTTTTTTTTTCTTTTCTTCTTTTCCTCCTTTTTGCCGTAATTTTTATCCCATTCTTGAATTTCTTTGAAACAAATGCAACCAGATTAGTCACCTTCGAATTGCAGTCGGTTAATTAGCAGCAGATATGTAGTAACACCGTGCCCAGTGCTTTTCCTTAATACACAATTACATATGTACTTAGTCAGTTACTTGTTGACTTTGAACCGTTAAGCACTGTGTCCGTAACGTATTTGTGCTGTGAAAATTTGAAGGATTTTTTTTTTGTTAACAATACTTGAAACAGTGTTTTTTCTACTTCCAAAAGTGTAAGTGTTTAACGGTATAGGCAATTGATCAAGCATTTTACTATTACTTGAGCATATTCACAGACACTTGATGATTGATGTGCGCAAGACCAACACAGAAACCAAATATCTGCTGTGGCAATAAAAAAAGTATTTCAAAAGAAGGATACTAATTTTCTAAATTTTCCTGCGCAAGTTTCCTTTCATATGCGCTTGAAAAGTGTATCCGAGTGCTATCTGCGCGCGTACAATAAACCTCGAGGATTAGCATGGTAGCAGGTAGAAGCTCAGCGTGCCACGCGCGATTAAAACTTTGAAAGGGCAGAGTAACATATAAGAAAAAAAACCCACAGCTTTCCAAATATAAAGAAATAAAAAACATTAAAGCCAAATTTTTATTAAAATTCAATTCACAAAAAAAAACTATCGAGTACAATTTCACGTTAAACCCTTATGCTGGGCGATCTGACAATTGAGGGAAAACTAAACAAGTCAAAGTATTTAGAAAGGAAAAAGCCTCTTGAGGTAATCTACTATCTTATTGACATGCTTATTTGTCAAAACTCTATTCCAATACTAGTATTTTATTGATAACAACATACCAGTTCGTTAGTAGCTTACCACTCTCGTGTTCTAGCGAAATAGATGAATTTGCACCACCACACCAGCATTTATTGTCAATTTTGAGTTCACCACGGGTATTTTTTTATTTTCTTTAAATGTAAAAATTTTCCCCAAATTACTGCGGTAGTAACGGTCATTGGTCGTATAAAAATCCAGGTCGTTCTGGTATAGAGACTCGATTGTGCGGAAACTGTTGGACTTTAGTCGTCACTTACTATAGGCATGCTTTACCGCGGGTAAAGTTTTGACCTCCTAACCGATATACTCCGCTGTAACTTGTAGGTTGTCATTACTGTTAGCATGGTCAAGATAACTGAGAGTGATAAGGGGATATTGTTGGCATGCATGAAATTCAAGGTTTGGATTAAAAATTTTTATTTGATTTTTGGACAACAGGAATCCAGCATGAATAAAAAAACTAGTATTTAACTAGTATAAAACTGTTTCATAGTTGAACTATGGAAATACCTCGTAGGATAAGATTTATGGCGAACTGGATAGTGTACAAATACCAGCTAGTGTATTCCAACCAACTACTAATATATTTTCCAGCAGAAAACTGACATAACCTAACTTAAAAAAAACACTTGATTAAGTGAGATTAAATTAAAGTGGCTGCCGGTCAGCAGTACAGTTAAGCCACCAATTGGGCGCTTTGTGATGCCACAGTTCGTATGACATACAAACATAACTCACATATTGTGCAACAGTTCGGGTTTAAAAACACTGCAGTGATCCGGCAGGCGTAAGGATTTCCAGATCCTAAGTTCTTTTGATTAGACTTCACTATCTGATATCTTTTTCTTTGCACCATTGCTGTCCCATCGGTCTTTCTTGTAGCCCCCCCCCCTCCCCCTCCTTGTAGTCCTTTTTGTAGCCACTAAAAGCAATACGTATAGTAGTCCTTCCGATCAGGTAGACGAAGCCTTGGTAATATAATGGTATAACCGTTGTTTATCAACCTCTCTTCAAACACTTTCGACAGTCATACCGCAGTACTTTATGGCAATTAAAAATTTAGTCATTTCATTGTGAACAGTTCAAAGTTCACGATATATGTATTTATTCGCTTTCGAGCAAACAGAAAATTCAAATAATTCCCCAAAGATTTCTTTTGTCATCTTTCATACTCAGCGGGTATTCCTTTGTACCAATCCTTTTCAATTTGTTACACTTTGTTATTTCTTAACAGTAATTTTAAAAACAATCAATGCCGCTTATGGGTGTGGCAGAACAAGATTGGTTTGTTTTTTTCGTTTTCGTTTTTTTTTTTAAATTAAATTTTAGTTAAAAGCATCGCGTAAACAGTACATACATATATATTTTATTACCTGAGTCATGGCTTTCAGTCTAATTTTTTGATTATTTTTCGGACTTCTTGTGGCTGAAGAATATCAAATACTGATATAGTTACAAATATGTATATGTATGAAAAATGTAAAATTTTTTAAATATGTAAATAAAATATATGACGTCAAAATTGTTTGTTTGCACAGTTTGCAGACGTCATTGTTTTAATGAAATTCTGTTATTTTAGCAAGGAGAATTTCCGATAAAGGCAACCAAAATACCAAAGCGCAAATTAAAATTGACTTAAATAAAGGGACAAAATATTTAATGAAACATACAAACTTCCATTTATACATTTATTTATTTATTTATATAATTTTGGTTTCGCTTATTTTACTTTAATTCATCTTTTCCTTTACTTTATTTTCTCTACTTCTTTCATTTCTTCTGTTTTTCTTAATAATTTACTTTATTTCATTTTACATCATTTTACTTTTTATTTTACTTTTTTGAAATTTGTTTTATTTTTTTATATTATATTTTTTATAATTCTATTTTGTTTTATATCATTAAAATATAATAATCATTCATATTTTTTTATTCTATCTTATTTCATTTTTGTGATTTTTCATTATTTCTTATTTTACTATATTTTATTTTATTTCAATTTATTTTATTTTATTTTATTTTATTTTATTTTATTTTATTTTATTTTATTTTATTTTATTTTATTTTATTTTATTTTATTTTATTTTATTTTTTTATTATTTTGTATTTCATTTTAAATTGTTAGTTATTTATTTATTTTATTTTATATAAATATTTCTTCAAATACTTAAGCAAATTCCTCAAAAGCTGGCCAGCATTAAATACTTGCACGTGTTAGTGTAAAAATTCCATTTAATAAAAACTTTACATAATTAGTATTTTACAAATTCAATGAATGTGATGACGTCACAATACCGAAAATTGAAATACAAAGATAACAATAACGAAAAATTAAAATTCTGGCGAATTTACATTTTATCTTATTCACTCATAAATAAGCCAGATATGCGCTAAATTTAAAACTTCGGTGAGTTTAAAATTTAATTAGGGTTACATACATTCATCATTATTTTCCACGAAGAATTTTTAATTACAACCAACCGGTTTACGGTATAATGAAATATTGTAAACACGAATGACGTTTATGAATGAAACTGAATCACTCTTGTAAATCCCATATGAAAATGACCTCTGAAAAAGAGTTTGTGAGATTAAGCCAATTTTTTATCGTTTGGTGTTCAACTTCTAGGCTCTCTGATCTACGATCATAAAGAACCTTAGTTAAATTCCTTTTGAGATGTCAGGGATATTAGAAACTTAGAAACTCATCAAACACCCCATTCTCTCGAGACATTCCGTCAAAGGTGGGAATCTATTGTTTATTCTATTCCAACTGCGAGAGGCTGATATATCTGAGTGTGTGTGTGCTTTTATTTCATATTTTTATTTGTTTATTTCATTTATTTTTAGTATTTTTTATTTACTAACCAATTGCTCCCCTTTCTTTGAATATTTTCTAGCTCGAATCGCAAACACTTCTACTTCCTACAATTACTCATTTAAGTATTATGCTTTTCTGACATTAAGACGCTGCAAACGAACCAGAAAGAAAAGAAGAAGAACAGCACATCAGTAATGACTCCTGAATTTTTGAATCAACACATACAACGCAACAACAGCAGCAACAGCATACAAAGTAATCACAGCAATCACACGCCCTCAATTTACAATGCCAACAATAATCATCGGCTATCAGTCTCATTAACACCTGTCACAACACCACAATTGCTGCAACGTCATAATGCTACTGCCGGCGTTTACACACCACCAGCAACACCCCTATCACCGCCCACACCACCACACACACCGCAATTCAATGCAGCCGGAGTGGGACGGAGTAAAATTATCGACGAGTCATCACTAACGCAAAGCAATGCGAAAGCCAAACCAACACCAACAACAACAGCCAGCGATATAATAGGCAGCGTGTTGGGTGACTTCGGTATTTGGCAGCTACGTTCGGTGCTCATACTCTTTCTATGCAAATTACCCGCCTCCTGGTTCATGGCCTGTATAATATACACAGCGCCCGAGATTAAACCACCCACACAATATCACTGTGACACGAGTCAGTTGAATGCGAATCAGACGATAGCGCCGAATCAGTGTTACGTGGTGAATTGGAGTGGAAATGTGGCGCCGAACGGCACCACGTCGGGTGAAATGCTCTCACAAACCCCATGTACAAAATTCGTTTACGAAGATTATTTCTATTCGTTCATCATGCAGTACAATTTGGTTTGTTTGCGTGAAATATTCGTGGCCTGGACGCAGTATTGGCATCTGTTTGGCGTGCTGGTGGGCGGCGTTATCGGCACCAAGGCGATGTTGAGGTGTGTGGAAGAGAGAGAGAGAGAGGGATATGATTGAAAAAATTAATAATATCAAATTCGTTTTTCTTTTTTTTTTTACTTTACAGACTCAGTCCACGCACAGTCTACATCATAGGCGCGGTGCTGCAGATCATTTTGGGTGTAATCACTGGTTATTCTACTGATCTGACAATGCATTGCATCTTTCGTTGTCTGGCAGCTATCTGCTGTGCTTTGATGTTCACCTCGGCACAGGCAATTTGTAAGTAGAGGAAATACAAGCCTATTCTCACGACACTCACAAAATTCATTAGCCCACCTTTGTTAGAAATACTGTGCCTCAAGCCATGCCATCACTGTGTTCGATCTTTTCTAGAGCATTTTTGTAGCACAGGCTTTGGTGCGGTAAAAGCTTACCTTAGTGAGCCAATAAATTTTGTGTATAGAATCTTGAGCTCCATATGAATTCTAAAACTTTACTTCTATCTCTCCAGTCGTTGACATCACTGGCGGTCGCTATCGCACCGGTGTCATCATATTGTACGACACCTTTTGGTCACTGGGCGTCATTCTACTACCGGGCATTTCATCATTTTTCAATAATTGGAGCCAACTTTATCTGGGCATAACTTTCCCCACAGTCATTTTGCTGTTTCTACTCCAATGGACACCGGAGTCGCCACGTTGGTTGTTGAAAAACGGCAACGAACATGACGTCTATCGTGTGGAACGCATGATACGAAAAGCTGTTGATATCAACGAACGTACTTTCCTCATACCAGATGACTTTCGACAACAAATCGAACGATTACGCGACACTCTACGTTCACAAAGGCCACCTGCCACCTGGCTGCAACTATGGCATGGGCCACGTGCCACACATTATATGCTGGCAGCACATGTTGCGCTCGCTTGTTACATTGTTAATTATATGGGCATGTTGTTGAATCTACGCTCTTTCGGTCGAGACTATCGAATGCCAAATACGATCGCGATGGGTAAGTGGAAATGCTAAGAAACCGCTGAGAGCACCTTGGAATTTTATGAAATTTAATTATGATACTTTTTTCTAGGTTTTGCTGAAATTATCGGTTGCTTCATTGGGCTGCACTTTGTCATGAAGCAGGGTCAAAAGAAATTTATGTACGCGGGTTGTTTCAATGTCGTAGCCGGTCTTGTCGGTTGTCTAGGTTGGACTTTTACGCACGTGAACTGTAAGTAGTTAAGCATCAAAGCACATAAGGGGACGAGCCCATACTAGTTGACCCTTTTACGGTATAGTGGAAGGTCTTCAAGAGACTAGCTTAGGCTCTAGGCTTACGTCAGGTATCCAATATCATCTATTCAGCGCCTCTTTAATTCACAAACTACGATTTGTGTCCGCGTTTGACCTTGGCGAGTGTCGCCGAATAGGATAGACACCGATGTCGTCAAAAAGGAGAAAATAATTACATCAAAAGAAACGGCCGCAACAGCCGAGGGGTGGACATTGTGTACTGTCATTCTGAACCAGGGCTCGAGTTCTGCTTCAACCAATGTTCGGAATTATAGAAAATTATTTTTTTCAATTATGGTCGCACCTTGGCAGGGAACTTCAAGCCCGCCAAGTGTGCTACTGACAAGACGTAAAAAGCTCCACATAAAAAATCTTCAGCCGTTCGAAGGCTACTTGGCACAAACGGTAAGTCCCTGCATATGTTGGAAAAACATCAAGACGCACAGGACAAACTGGAGTAAGAGCTCGGCCGAAAATCACTTTAGTTATATATATGTATATATATAAATGTGTAAGGAAACTCCTAAAGATGATTAGAAGGAGAGGAGTCGATTTGAGGACTGAGTTCCTGTTACAATATTTTCTAGAATATGAGTTGAATTTTTAAACCAAATCATGATTTACTACGTGAAAACTAGAGATCGGGGATGACAGTGCTTAGCTCATACTATTTCAGGAGATCGTGAAGGCGGAGGAGTAACAGTTTGTAAAAACAGGGTCAAATAGCATGGGTGCGTTCCCTAAAAGACACATCGTATTTCATAAAATCAACCCAAGACAAATTATCTTAAATAATTTAAAGAATTTAAAATCTTAAAACATTTTTTCCCCCCATTCCCATAGTGAATCCCGATTTAAAAGTCGTGCTCTGGATGATCATCGCTCTGGTGCCCAAGGTCAGCGTGTCTTGTGCTCAATCCATGATGCAGGGTTGTATGGCTGAGGTGATGCCGGCACATAAGAAGCAACCCTTCGCATTCTCCGTGGTCACGTTTGCGCGCTTATGGCTGTTGAGCGCGCCATTCATCAATCTCCTAAAGAAGACCGATGTAGCGCTCTCGCTCACATTTTTCTCTGTGCTCACTGTGATTGGTGGTATTTGTACGTGTTTATTGCAGCCACCAAAACAAAAGAATACCGCTAATCTAACCATGAGTAATGAGGTATCGAATAAAAAGGAACGTTCACCGTTAACCGCCACTGTATGGACGGTCGAGAGTGAAGCGAATAATACGCGCCTATAAGTAGATTGCTCGATTGCTATCTACTTGCGCAGCTAATCACTGTTCATATGTATTAATAGCGTTATGTATGTATATGTATATATAATTAATACATACATACGTACATACAATTTTAGATAATTTAGCGTTTGTGCCATTGGAAACAAAATGTTCCCCTTTAATCAATAATTATTGTATATCTAATTAAATATGTAAATAGTTTGTAGTACAACTGTTATAATTGTTACAAATATATGTACATATGTATATGTATGTACATATATATAGTTCTGCTTAAGCACACTCATCAATTGAAAATTGACAATTAATTATATGAAAGAAAGAGTGGAATTATTAATTATTTTAGTCTAATAAATCTGTGATTAGTAAGCCATGCTAAATGATACATACATATATTTTTTTTCTATGCAATCAATTAAATTTGCCAACTAACTAATTGTACTTATTAAGTTTAAACTACGATGAACATACACATATATATAAATACAAGTATGTGTGTACGTACGTATATAATTACTAACTTACCAACGATTCGAGCACTATCATTCCATAAGAAATGTAAATACATACCTATATACTTATATTAAAAAAAAATACATTAAGCCAAATCAATGCACAAACACATACGAATGTACATACAATTAATAATTATGTAAATAAATGCACTTAAAAATACGAATTCAACTTAGAGTTGCTCACTTTTTTTCCTAATTTATTTTTCTGCTTGTTTTTGCCGGCCGAAAATCGCTTCAGCGGTTACATAGTGCCAATTATATATATTATATATACATATATAAACATTACGGTGTTTCAAAACAAAAAGTATATACATCGAAATAATAAAAAAAAACCAATTATTACGACTAATAAGCATTTAATCGTTTGGATCGAAATTTTTCGTCGAGTCACCCAACAGAGATCTGCAAAAATTGCTCTCGTTATGAGTGACAAACAAAATTATTTAATCGATTAATCGGGTTTTTCGATTATTTTTGCATTTAATATTAATGTAATTAAAAACAAATGCAAGATTTTTTTTTACATTTTTATACTATGAATTAAACCTGTTTATCCGTCATAAGCTGAGCACACAAATTAACATTATCCCTTTTTTTGTTTTTCTTTTTGTTTCAATTAAGGCTTCAAAAAATGTATTTTTTCCTGAAATCTATTCTAAAACTATCCAAGAATATGTTTTCAAAATTTCAGTAGCCAATTCAACATATTTTAGAAGCTAAAACAGGTTTAGTGGCCGAGCGACGAGCAGCCTCGAGTGCGTTTTTTCGAGTTTTCATTTTTACAAGTCTTAGAAAACGGTGCCGGTGATAAGCAAAAAGTATACATTTTCGATTGAAAAAAAAAATAATATAAATATTAAAATATCTTCTATTTGAACTAAAAATGTGGGACATTATTTATTATTTAAACTATTTTTTTGCAACTTGAGAGAAAGAGAGAGACTCTATAATCAAGCTTTTTAAAAATTTGGAATTTTTCAACGTCTTGGGTATTTTTTTAGTTCATAGAGAAGAGACGCTCATGAAAATAAAAAAAATGATTCCACAATTTCAGATACATCGCACGGCCTCCATCACCGGCGCCGTTTCATAAGTTCAGACTGCAGCTGCTTCAGTACACTCATCACAACATTGGAAAATTGCAATATTTTTTGTTACTAAAAATGTTTTTTTTTTTTTTGAAAATTAAATACATATAATATGCATAATATTGTTTGAAAATTTCATTTACCGCAATAATTTCCTTCCCTTTCAAAATAATGGCAGACAAAACGTTTTTTTTGTTTCTAATGGACACGACTGCCTTAATACCTCGAAGCTTGTGTGAATCTTTGTATGTTTGGTGGATGGTCCTTTGAATGGCAATGCGTACTACTACTACTCAGAAGGTCAAGGCTCAAGTTCTGGCCCAACGAACATTCAAATTTATAGTGAATTAGTTTTAATGATTTATGAAATGATTTATTAATTTTAGTTCAAAGTACATATGTAGGTACCAGAAGGAGAAGAGATCGGCTTATAAAAATTTATACCGATATGATCAGAATGACGAGTTGAGTTGATGTAGCCAAGTCCGACTGTCCGTCTATTCGTGCGGAAACTAGTCGCACAGTTTTTGAGATGAGAGTTGAGTTGAGTGTCCAACAACACTAGACCAAAAGGCCTATTGTAACATCGCTATGAGGCTCCTGTATTCATCTTTAGCGAGACACCGAAGCACTTGCAGCGCATAGATGCCAAGGCTGAGCAGTGGTCGAGGTAGATTCTTCATACAGTTCTTTCCTGCAGCTGCGGCAAAAATCATTGGAGTGATAGCCCATTCCATTCACGTAAGCCCCATTAATCAGTAACCGATATGTTAATGAAGAACTAGTCTAGAGATGCCTTGAACCTTTCGCGTTCAATTTATTTTGGCAACGTGCGACGCTGATTTCACTCAGTCGTCTAGATTTTGCCTCTTCGGCCAAGGCTTGTTTATTGTGGATAGAACAGTTCTTTCCCTCCCAAGTTCATCTGCCTTGCATGAATTAAAATAATAATAATGACTATAGTGGTAATAATAGTTTGCCTAATGGATATTAGTTGATTTCCGACTGTTTGTTGGCAAACTAGTCCCTGTGTTTTTGACAGTTTTTGACATTTAAACTATCATTTATATAAGTTAGATATTATCAGATTTGAGATTTTGTGTCAAAAATTTGTCGAAAAATCATTTAAGAGCGTAAAACTCTGTACTCATATAAAATATCGCTGCTCAAAACTAAAAGAAAAGATTTTTCAGATATGAGCCTAAGGTTAAGTTAGGGGGTCTTAAAGCTTATACTCGTAAGAACACGAAATTTGATATTCTACGTATATATAAAAATTCATTGTTACCAAAAATCATCGAAGGACGATCTAAAAAGTAATGCTGTGCCACAGCCGAGTGGTTAGCATTGCGTACTGACATTCGAAAGGCTCGGGTTCATATCTCGGTCCCACCAACACCCAATAGTTAGAGAAAATTAAATTAAATAAAAAATTAAGTTGTCTTTTCCAATTGATGTCGCCCGTCCGAAGTCTCTGCATAAAAAAACCTTCAGCCGTTCGGAGACGGCTTAACATATACTGTTGGCCCCTCGATTTTGTTAGAAAAACATCAAAAAACGTCAAACCACAAATTGGAGGAGAAGATCAGGGTTCCGTGATCGAGCAACCTGCTAAACCAAATAACTGACTAGATTTTCAAATTACAAAATATTGCGATAAAATTCATTATCAGCAGTTGCAAAATACAATTAAAAAATAAGGAAAATTCTCCACATATATTTTATTCAAAAATGGAAGATGTTTTCAAGAGAAGAGGTTAGCACGAAAAAGACGAAACACGTTTAATGCCAGAGAGCTATGAAATTACCTTTAAATTATTGTATCATGCTTATAAATATGAGAGTGCATAAACAACTTCCCTCAAAGAAAATAAGAGAGAGCTTCGTTTTTGAAGAGCGATTAAACGAGTTTAAGACTCTTCCATTACATTAACACTTACACAACGAGTGTAAAAAGTACCCTACAGGGAAAAATATTTGTAGTTACGTAGAATCTACAATAGTTTGCAGTTTTACACTAACTAGTTCATCTTTCATCTATTCCCTATATAAGCAACTGGTATTTTGAACAAGGTGGTGTCCAATGAATCAAGACAATTGATAATTGATAGTCCGACTATACATCAGCTTTATACTAGTTTTATACTAGTTCATTCAGGCATGTTGTTTTTATATTCCACAAAAAAATATTGTGGCGAAAATGACTAATTAACCAATAATAAAAAAGAAAACAAATTAATTTGCCTGCAGCGAAGCTTGAATAGGAAACCTAACAAACTCGACAATGTAGCGTTGATCGTCGATTTCAATCAATGTGCAGCCTCCAAAGTAGGAAAACTTCGGTAATAGTAATCATTTTACTCCTGTTATTGGCAAGCTGTCGACAAATAACAATAGATATACATAAATATATATATAAATATATAATAAAAAATATCTTACTAGTATTTGACTAGAATTTTTGTATACTATTTTGCTTTTCCCTACAGGGACGTTATAAAATCAAAAAGCACACGTTTACATACGAGTATGTTGCCACAAATTGTTGCACAAAGCTTGATAAACTCACGAAAGCTATGCGCGTACACTTATCACTCACTGGAAAACTTGTTTTCCTAGGATTGAATTGTTTCGAAAGGTTTTCACTGCAAAATATTGGCTTGCAAGCAACGCATTTCACTTTCATACGGACCAACGAGGGAATTGCATGTTAAGAAAAGGCTAAAATTTTATACAAAGCAGGAAGCAGAAAACAAAAACAAGTGAAAATAAATTTATTAATTTTATATTTTCATTCGGCAGTTAAATTTGAAGTTAACAAAATGTGTGAGCCCGAAGATTTCTACAAGGATGCCGTTATATTTGTAACAGGTGTGTGGAGTGGAAAAAAATGATAAAAATAGCAAAATTGTTTTTGCATAAGGTTTCTAAATATTAAAAAAAAAAAGTATACAAGCATACACACGTTTTGTGTATTTCAATATATATACTCCTATATGTACATTTATAACAAATTATCTTTAGCTACAAATTAATATTGTTATGCCTTTCGCTTTGTTTTTCAAAATTCAATTAGGTGCCACTGGCTTTGTGGGCAAAACTTTGTTGGAAAAGTTGCTTTGGAGTTTTCCACAAATCGCACATATCTACATATTGATACGAGAAAAGAGCGGCTTAACGGTGGCGCAACGTTATCAGGATTTTGTGCAACACAAAATATTTGAGCGCTTACGTACGCACTTTCCAGAGCGGCTGGAAAAACTAGTCTATCTGAAGGGTAACATTGAGTGTGACGATTTCGGTGAGTACCCAAAACCCCAAGACTATAAAAACATATGAATTGGTTTTTTTTTTTTGTTGATTAATTTTTACTTACTTTAACCGAAATTATATTTGATTTGTTAGGCTTGAGTTCCAACGATCGCCAACTGCTAGGTGCGCATGTGCAGATAATTTTCCATAGCGCAGCGACAGTTCGCTTCAATGAACGTTTGAAAGTTGCCGCATGTGTTAATGCCATCGGTACTTGGCATCTTTTAGAGTTGTGCAAGCAAATGCCGAATTTAAAGGTATTTATGTGCATTTGTATATTTGTAAATTTTATTTTATTGCGTGAGTTATTTTTCTTTCATCCACAGAGTTTTGTCTACGTCTCCACAGCTTATTGTAATCCGGGTCGGAAATTTGTCGATGAACAAATATATCCCACACTGCCGCCGGTGAATTGGAAAATGTTTGTGGATTGCACTAATAAAATACCAGATGCATATTTCAATAGTTTGGCTAATTATATTAAGGTAATTAAAAATTGGTCATTTTGTCATTCGGGAAATTTTGAAATCTCTTAATTTATTATTGTTAATATTATTATTACTAATATTGTTATTATTATTATTGTTATTAATATTATTATTATTATTATTGTTATTATTATTATTATTATTATTATTATTATTATTATTATTATTATTATTATTATTATCATTATTATTATCAGTATTAATATTATGGAATACCTGCTGAGATACTAAAAGTGGTAGCCACCAATCGGTCTAAAGCACTTCAAAGCATGTTTAATGCCTGACTGAAAGCCGGAAATATGGAAGAGTCAACATCTTGTATTAATTAACAAGGGAAAGGGAAACCCCGACAGCGCATCAGCCTCTCTGCATGCTCGATACCGCTAGGAAACTGCTCGAAAGAATGATAAAATCCAGGATAAAAGAAGCCATAATTAGTGCCAGAGGTCTGTCAAAGCGGCAATATGGATTCAGACCCATAAAATCTACTCTTTTTATCTTTATCGCCATCGAGAATGTAACAAAAAGCGTGAAGCTAGCTCACCGAGGTTCCCACAAATATAAGAAGATAATGCTTTTAGCCACATTGGATGTCCGCCATATACCTAAGTACCTAAGTTTAATGGTAAGAAGCTACCTCAAAGACAGCGTTCTCCTATACCAGACCACAGATGGCCCCCGAATCCTAAAGATCACATCTGGCGCATCGAGACTCGGCCCTGATCTACGGAATGTCAGATACAATGACATATTAAACCTCGAGATGCCGGATGACACATACTTGGTTGGTTATGCAGATGACATTGCAGAGATAACAACCGCCCGTGACACAGAAGACGCGCGAAGATAACTACACCAGGTTATGATATGAGCACAAATGTGGCTTGACCGCGCGGTCTCAAATTAGCCACAGAAAAAACTGAGCTATTATTACTAACGTTCCGTTAGAAATAAACATGCAGACTGCATCCAACAGCCTAAAGACGCGCAGCGTCATAAGCTATTTAGGCCTAAGATTGGATTCTAGACTTACTTACTGAGCACAAATGCATGCAGCATAAATAACAGCCCGACTCAGCAGGTTGATGTCCAACATCGGAGGACCCACACAAGAGAAAAGAAAACCACTTATGTCAGCGACTATTAACATTCTACTTTATGGGGCAGAACTATGGGCGGACACATTAAAGAGAGATAACCATCTTGCAGCGGTTATAGCCAAATTATATCGCTGCATTAAGGGTAGTGTCAGCATATCGCACAGTGTCAGACAAAGCTGTCTTAGTGATAAACGGAAGTATTCCTATAGAACTGCTGGCACTAGAAGGAAAGAAAATCCGGGGCTTGAAGAACCAAGGAACCTACGTGTATGTCATCACAACAAGAGACGACATAAAACTAGATACGTACAACGGATGGCAGAATCGTTGGGAAAGAGAAACGTGCGACAGATGGACGGCCAGGCTAATTGAGGACGTGAAACTTTTGACACATAAAAAATTCGTCACGGTTACATTACATAACTGGAAAAATATAGCTGACTACGTACTACCCAAGAAAAAGCGTGACCTGGACGCAGATACTGAGATGTAAATCTCAAGACGAGAAATATGGAACGCCAACTTGAAGTAATGCGAAAGCGATTCTGGGGTAGGCGACGGTTCTTCAGAGGACAGTTTTTTAGTGACCTGCAAGTGGAGAATTTTCGAAGTGATATATGAGTTAGGTCTCTTAAAAAGTACTTTTCACATTCGATTACAGTTCTTCATAACTTTCGTGAACATGATGATTAACTTGAGGCCAAAGTATGTAAATACCAGACGGAGACGGAAGATTTCCACCATCATCTATCTATCCATACCGATCGGAACAGAACGACGAGCCAAGTCTTTCTCATTCTGTTGATCATTTGTCGGGACCGGCCTCATCGGTCGACTATATCATATTATACAACCGTTGTTTCTTTAGAAATTTGGTTTTCGCATAAAAACAAAACTTCAAAAAAGCACCAGAAAAGGTGTTTTTCACACTCATATAATGGTGTAACCGAGCTGATAAATATCGAAATTGGAAAACTCTACCAAATAGCTCCCCTACAACCAGTGAGAATTTGAGTCCCAATTTTAATTTTTTTCTTTTTCTGAATACTCAGAATGTAGTAATCTTCAGTGTACATATTCTAAACCGCTTTGAGTTTTAATTAAAATTTATTTATCAGAAAAAATAATTACCTCCACACAGGGCCCACATCCGAACACGTACACCTTTACCAAATCGATAGCCGAACAAATTGTGAATGATTACAAACACTACGTACCAATTGTTATCGTACGACCGTCAATTGTGACAGCAGCACACCGTGAACCCTATCCAGGTTGGATTGATAACATACAAGGTATCACCGGCATTATGATGGAAATTGGAAAAGGTACGATAAGCAGCATTTTAGGGGATAAGGACATTATATGCGATATAATACCAGTCGACTTTGTAGTCAATTCTCTTATACTAATGGCACAAAAGGCAACGTTGGGAAGGTAACATACATTTTGCATATATAAACTTTATATTATTTTACAAGTATTTAATGTATCTCCACAGAGTTTACATTGCCAACGCTACATCGGGCGTCACAAATCCCATCACGTGGGCGCGTCTCGGTTGTTTGACGTTGAAGTGGTCGCGTATATATCCAACCAAACGCATTATGATGTATCCACATTTTAAATATCGGAAAAGTTTTTTGATGCATGAAATTGCGGTAATCATACTACATTATGTACCGGCATTGCTAATGGATTTGCTCACCTTGTTGCAAAAGAAACGAAAATTTGTCTTGCCAATTGCGAAAAAGTTTCGACAAGCCTGTTTGGCAGGTGAGCGATAACAAGGGTGTCTTTTTTTTCTGGCATTTACCGATTGCCAATTTCTTATGGAACTTACCTAATTTTATTTCAAAAATGTACGAAATATAGGGTATCCATTTAGTGTTTTCAAAAGTATAGAGTTGTATTTTGATATCTGTCAAATTTAAGTGTTAAGTCAAATCTGTTTTGTTTTAGTTATAAAGCAGGACTTTTTATGAAATTTTCCATCACCAAAGTGACTCAATAACTTAACCGAACTCCATTTTTAAGTCTTTGAATCGACGTGGGGCCGTTGACGTTGACTTTATGTTTCACATGACCCCAAAAGAAGAAGTCGCAGGCAGTTTAATCACAAGCTCTCGGTTGTCAATTGCGACCATCTCTTCGAAGGATAAGACGGTCCGAAAACTTTTCCCTTAAAAGATCAATACTTTTGTTGATTGTGTGGCACGTAGCGCCATCTTTTTGAAAGTAAACGTTATCCAGAACAATACCATTCAATTCCGGCCATACAAAATCATTATTCATCTCTTCATAGCGCAATCCATTCACCGTGACTGTTCTACTGTCGAAAACGTAAAGTGCAACGGCACCACCGGACCATAAACTGCATCAAACAGTTACATGTTGAGGCTTTTCAAATTAGGTTTTCCGAGCTCTAGTTGTTACAATGTTGCTTGTTGACATATCCATCGAGGTTTCCGGATCATTTTCAAGCATTTCCAGGACCCAGTCAGCAAAGACATAAAGTTGTTGATGATCGACCGAATGCAGTTCTTGTGTTAACTGAACTTTATAAGCCTTAAGTCCCAAGTCTTTATACAAAATACAATGTAATGATGTTTGCGGAATGTCCAATACCAAAGAACGACGAGAAATGGACAAACCTGGACATTCCTCAACACTTCGGGCTACAGCAGTAATATTCCCATTTGTTTGGGGAGACATGCACGCCGTTTGTTCTTCTCATCACTAATTTCTACCAACAGCTCATTTTTTCACCAATTTATGTATTGCGTTACGACTAAGTGCTTCACGACGACCGAAAAATGTTTTGATTTTACGAACCGTCTCTGGTTTTCTCCAATTTTATAGTGAATTTTAACAATTTCAATGCGTTCTTGAAGCGTACAACGTTCCATTTTTATTACTGCTATAGTTTTTACTTGTCAAATTTCCAAAAGTTATGCTCCTAAAGTGGCATCGACCGTAATAGCAAAATATTCTAAATAACATCTCTTATTGGAAAACCCTTGATTAAAAGCATTTTATATATAATAATTTTCGAAACTGCAAAATGAATAGCACTGTATTAGTAAAAGATAGGGTCTTTTTAAGGGTGAGCTTAGCTGTTGTTAAAAACTATCTGGCTCATGTATCTCGTGGCTGGAAAATCCAGTAAAACTGGTGAAACTATTTATATGCCTCTCTCTCTCTCTCTTTCATCGCTGGTAGGTCGTACGTTCTCGCTGAATGAGTGGATTTTCAAAAACAAAAGTCGTTATTACTTCGAAGAGTTGCTACAACACAGCTCAACCCTACACGAATTATCTTGGAACTTGGAAACCTTGGATTATGATAGCTATATAAGAGAATTTGTTATTGGCATACAAAAATATCTACATCACGAACAATTTCATGACAATGCTAAAAAGTGGAAGATCACACGGTGAGTAGTGTAGATTCGATCAAAGAAATATATTTGGAAATAATTTTCGTATTTTTGATTTAGTTTATATTGGACCTGGACATTTTTACACACATTTCTACCACTATTGGGTATTTATTGCTTGATATAAAATAATTTGGTTCAGCTTAAGCGATATATTTGAAGTGAAATATTTACTATTGATATGCGAATTTGGCAATATGAACTGCTATTTGATGTCAAGTTAGCAAAATCCCTGACTGACTGAAATTTATTACGTACGCTGAGTGTATCGGTGTAGTGACGACACAAAAATTATTAATACCAAAAGTATGAAATTACAATGCATGTATGTATGTATGTAATTAATAAAAATAATTGTTAAATATTAAACGAAAACAAAATATTTAATTGGCAATATCAAATTAAGGCAACGGTTCTCCACAATCATCTGGCGGTGGTCCCAATGTTGGGAACGTGCGTAAACGTTGTAATTCCAAAATTGTTTTCAACTCCAGTATATGAGCGTAATCTTGACGCACTTCATTGATTAGAAAACTATAGCGCTTGACCTTTTCCATGCTGTAAGAGAAAAAAAAGGAATGAAAATGTATAATATTTCGACTGTTTGGAAAAGCCTTGCCTCTCATTGCGCTCTCTTTGCAATTTCTCCTCCAAAAGTGTATCACGATTTGCTGAGAACATTGCCACATCTACTTTGACCTCATCGATGGAACGATTTATGGCTTGATTCTTACGTTTTACTTCTATTAGTTGATCTTTACATAAAGTTATTTTTTCATTGCTGTGAAGAAAACGAGATAATATTAGGCCTAGTAAAAAGAAATCCATTATTTTTCCAATAGATGATATTATTTATCTGTATTTCGCGTAGTATAAGTCCAATCGGTTTCCGTTAGAAAAATGTCATTTCGTCTAAACAAAATCTTTTCTAACAGTTTTGTGATTGGTTTATTCTGTTTTGTTTGAGCGCGCGACAAGGATGGACACTAGCAAAGAGGTAATACACTATATTTTACAGTTTTTCTTCGATAAGAGCGAAAACGTAAGCCAGGCTGAAATCATGCACAATTTGAGTTTCATTCCGGTGGTAAAAGATGCTTCACGGAGTGGAAGGCCAATTGTCGAAAATGTCGATAAATTCATGGACTTTGATGGGTTCGACTGTCAAGTAAGCACTGTTTCGATAGCCCAAGAGCTAAAGCCTGCCCAAAAAACCGTTTGGAGCCATTACGGGAAGTAAAAATTAAAGCCTTCAATTTCATGCAAAAATAATGGATTTCTTTTTACCACACCTTATATATAAATTTCATGCAAATACAATTTTTATTTGGCTTGGCAAAAACCACATAATCATCACTCTTCTGGTTATTTCAAGCGTACGCTTAAGTAGACGCTTCCCAAGGTATTTATATAATAAAGATCAAGATCGTTCCGAAAAATCATCCATAAAGTGGATGGACAAAGCTTTGATTTTTGCGCGCCATAGCAGATGAACTCATTCGGATCTTCTTCTATACTCTGCTCTGCAGCGGCAATAGCGTGTTCGGTGCATGGTTGCTCGAATTACCGACTCTGCTGGGCGCTTATGTCGGCCGAATGAGGAGCACAGCGTGTGATGCGTAACGTTAACCGCACCATTATTTTGGTCATAAATATGCAAGATTTGCAAAGATGTTCCGGAACAAGTCTACTCAAAAGTCAAAAAGACCAACTCGGAAAGAAGTATTGCCTCTTTGGGAACCACACATTTAAAAGAAACAACCTGCTCGCGGTTTATAACCACTTAGGTTTCGGTCGAATACCTCTTCCAATTTGTGAATTGTATTTTGGATTTTCTCCAAGAGATGATGAGACCGGCATTATAAAGCAGCCTCCGATAGGCTGATAGATTTTTTTACGATTGTTTTTTAATTTTATTCCGAAGATACATTTGGTGCGGTAGATCTTTTCTGCCAAGAGGTGAGCACACTAAGTAAATAAATTTGTATATCGCTGTGGCGCTTTCAGGAAAGTATTTAGCAATACAGAAATTTTTTGTAGGTTACCATGACAAAAATGTCTCCTTACATATATATACATTACATACACTTACATGCGCTCCAAGTTTTTGCGATATGCCGTAACGCGCTGCTCAATTATCTGTTCGATACCGCCAATACGCATTAACTTCGTACGTTCCTCTTTGACTTTCTTCCATTTACGCAGCAGTTGCAGGAACTCAGATGTGACCTAAACAAAGAGATATTCATGGCATGTCAAAACCATTGACAGAAAACTACCCATCTTATATGGGCAATGATATAAAAAACTTTTTAATTTTCCTTACATTTTCTGCGCTACAAGACCTACCTTACACTTCTCTATTACTTGCAGCATGTACTTGAGATAATCAATGTTTGCACGGTACATTTTGTGTTCCCACTCCTTGTAGAGCACTTGGCGCCGAAATACCGCTAAACGTTGCATGGTGCGCAGCTTTTTAGCGCCAGCTTTCTGTAAAAACATATAGAAGAATCAAAAAGTTGTCTAAACTAAACTGCCAATTGGGTTCATCAAAAAAGCAGAATAGTTCTGGCAATCATCGTTTAATTTTTTTTAATAAGCTCGGCTATTTGCTCAGCTACTTTTGATTGCAATAAACCAACGCTACGACAACAGTCTTACCTTGATAAGATTATTCACATCGTTTATGTCATCAATATTCATTAGAATGCAATTTGATAAATTCTTCATAGATCCACCAATGGTCGTCTCTACTTGACCCATGGGCAAAACCAATTCCAGACGTTGATTTTGTACGGTATTAAACTTAAAAATACATATTTTTTTTTTCAAATTAAAACTTTTTCAGATTCTAATAATTTTTTAAAAATATCAAAATCAATAATTGCAAACTGAAATCGAGTCACTCTCATAGAAACTAAACCATAACCACAACCTAGCGACAGGCCACCATACATAAACTGCACACAAAATTTTAAAATCACTCCGTGAGTTCTGCTTTCTACAGACTGGATACGGCAGCGGAGGATATGAGTCTGGCAGCGAGCGAAGGCAACACGGGAAATCTTCTGTCATCAAGCAAACAGTCGATGCATACGCGGCTCAGCTCCCACGTCACTGTTGTCAGTCATAACTCTGAAATCGTAGAAAACCAATATTAACACCAACAACAATGCCAGCCAGGAAATCCAACGCAGCCAGTAGGTGTCCTCGCTCGACGAACAAAGACCAGACTCTACAATTCCCTTATCGTTCCTTTCCTTCTACATGGTGAGGAGACATGGATGATGACAACATCTGATGGGTCGATGTTAGGAGTTTTCGAGAGAAAGATTTTGCATAAGATTTATGGTCCTTTGCGCATTGACAACGGCGAATACCGCCGCCGACTGAGCTATGAGCTGCACGATTTATACGACGAAATTGACATAGCTCTGTGCATCAAGAAACAGCGGCTACGCTGGCTAGGTCATGTGGTCCGTATGGATGAAAGCAATACAGCTTTGAAAGTTTTCGATGCTGTACCTTCTGGTGAACGCAGAGGAGAAGGAAAAGCTCCACTCCGTTGGAAGGGCCAGCTAAAGAAGAACCTAGCCGTATTTGGTATTTCCAATTTGCGCCAAAACAGCAAAAAAATAAAACGAATGGCGCAATGTTATTAACTCGGCTTTAATCGCGTAAGCGGTGTCTACGCCAAAAAGCAAGTAAGTAATCTTAAATTTAAGAAGGCCAAATTAATAAGGCGACCCCAATAACGGTGTGTGACTTAAGAGCTGAAGCAACTTTTCGTGTGCCCCATCACTTTCATTACCACATACTCACATACGAACTCGATAGACGATCCGTTTCCGATATCATCTGCTGTTTGAGACCTCTCAAATTATTCAAATCCGTTATGGAATTGTTTAGTTTCTCTTGTGAATCGGTCAAATGAAAACCTTGCGCCTTGATCTTCAGCTCGTTTTCAATTTTTTGCCGTCGGAGACGCACAAATTGATCCCAATATTTTGCATCGAGCTGATGCGGCGCATTGCGTGAATCGTCCAAAAGTTTCAAATTGTTAAAATATTCCTCCACTTCGACGGGCAAGGGGAAATTAAAGCGACTCTTGTGTGCCAAACGCGCGGCTACTTCGCTGCACACCAACGCGGATTGGAACGAACGTTGTTGCATTTTCGGACGACGTCGGAAGAGTTTGCTCAATTCATGCGTATAAGTTGGTATGTTCGCCAAGAAGCTGCCCTTAAATTGACGTTCTATTGACTTGTCACGTGCATTCAATGCTTCCATATCCTGTTTGATGTCTGCAACGGATTTTTCAAAGAATTCAATCAATTTCACATAGCGATTGGTGTACTCATTGGCCTTGTTGGTTTCGGTGCTGGGGAAATAATAAATGGAAGGTTCTTTTATTTTCAAGGTAATGACTGGTCGTATCCTACCTCAGATCCGCAATTGTTTCACGTAAATTCACGCGCTGATAGAAGGTCATCTTCATGCCCAATAAACGCACACGAAAATGTTTCAAAGCAAAATCATATTTCAATTTGAGTACCGCCATTTGTGCGCAACATTCGTTGAATTTATGTATGTAGCTGTTCTTCAGTTCGTTCGTTTTACGTTCATTCGCATTCAAAATGCGTAAGTATTTATTCCGATCCTCTTGCAGTACACGCAAGGTCTCCTCATACAAACGAAACAGCTTTTGATCCTCCAATGTGTACTCGTGCGGTTGACGTTTCGACATAAACTCTGGCTCTGGTGGCGTCTTCTTGATTTCCTCCTCCCACAACTTCTCCAACACGCCATCCATCATGGTATTTAGTGCACGTATCCAAAAATCAAAGGACCACAATAGCAAACGTCCATGTTTCTTGTCGCTAACAACCGCCTTTTTAGCGCGTCGATTGATAGCTTTGATCTCGGAGTCGTCCACCTGTAAGGTGGAGAGAGAAGTGTTATGAATATTGAGTTAGAAGATAAAATAAGAACGCACTACTCACCGTCATAATGCGTTCCAGCACCTCATCGTTCATTAGTGTTGGAACTGTAAGCTTTGCTGGCGTAAACGTTTTCAAGCCCAACAACTTAAGCATAATATTCATGTCGTTGTAGATATGAGTGAGGCTTGCATTCGTGCCGAGTATGTTACTCATGATTTCCTCCTTGTATTGTCGGACTTCTTCAAAGTATTTATTAAACTCTTCGCGACAGGGCACATCCAGAAGGACCTGAAAAAATCAATATTATGTATTTAGGTCGTGCTGGTCCTTTGGCAGGTCCTAAGCGTTAGTCTTAAGAAGTGTATGCAAATATCTTTATTAGTTTGTGCTGAGCTCACCTTAAATTTAATATCTTGATTATACAACTGATTGGCTGTGACCCAATTGATATCCTGCATTTGAAAATCTTCAGCCATTAAATGCTCAAACACTTTGCCTACAATTTGATAGAGTTTGCGCTTTTTCTTAGCCACAACAATTTCTTCGACGTCTTCAACAACCTCATCGCCCGGCAGACCTAGCGCAGCACTCCCTGTCACGGCAAGCTCTTTTTGCGTTACATTTTCATCTGTTTCTTCCTCTTCTTCGAAGCCCTCGAAGTCTTGAAAACGAAATAGATCGAATAAATCCATCAACTCTTTTTCAACTTTGCCGAGTGAGTAATTCTCGAATGCATTGTTTGTGAATATTGCACGAACTTTTACGCTAATCTTAGCTGTATTGCGTGTAATCAAGTTCTTTATCCAATCACGTATGCGACTCTTATCCAAAATACTTTCCACCAATGAATTGTGCTCGTATTCACACACCTTACGCGCCTCCATGTTCAGTTGATTTAGCCAATTGTAGTTCAGACAGAATTTCCGATAAATTCCTTGAGTTTTACCCGTTACAGCGATGTCGTAGTCGATGAGCGCACTCACCTCGGCCGCCAATTCTGCAAGACGTTTATCAATATTGGCGCGTAACTCATAGCTCTCTTGGGAAATGGCGTGCTTTGCAAACGAAGCCATGGAGGGTGTAAAGGACTCACGCTGTAACTCCAACTCTACTGGTTCTTCGAGTAACTCTATATTTTCACGTAGATTATCGGTCAGAGAAAATAGACGTGTTACTTTCAAACAGCCAGACTCGAGCAAGACGACTAAGTATCTGAAAGTAGAGAAACGTAAAGTTGGCATTTTAATAAATCAAGGACAGAAGGAGAGAAGAGTTGATAAAAAGAAAGTAATTATTACTCTTCTCTAAGATACGGGAGCGCAGTGCGGAGTTTTAGGAATCCACAAACCTATAAAAACTTCATCTCAATGCGAAACCTACTGACATCTCCTATGCGCCATCGTCAATGCGAGATATACATGCTCCAGTTAGGGGAACGTAATGGAATGCTTTGCAAGGGTATCTTCAGAATCAGCTCGAGCATATTGCTTTGCATGGATCCCTAAGCCGACTCATCTAACACGCCACATCTTGTGATATAACCTCGACTACAGAGACTTACTTTTACTGCACCTAGAGGGGGTCAACTAAGCGCTGCAAGCGCTAAAGTATAATCCGATTGAAAAATTAATACAATAATGATATTGCCTTAAGCTTGACTTACTTGCTATTATAGATTTCTTTCAGTTGTCGTATCAATCGCTGTGAATAGCTGGAATACAATTTCCGACACACGACATACGGTTTTGTCGAACGCTTATGATGACGGAAGTGAATCATTAAAGTACTGACGTCATAGGTTATTAGATTACGTGAACCCGTTACGCCCGAGAGGTGAGCGATGTGCACGGTATTCAAAGAGCGCATCAAAAACAAACTCTTCGCATGCTTTACAACAAATAAATCCAATTGAAAACTATCCATAGCCAAAGCGGCGAGCTCCACATGATCTCTATTAACGACTTGTATCAATGTAATGTTTCGGTAATTCTTCGGTAAGTTGAACGAGCGTCGATGTACAACACGCTGTTCCGAATGCCATGTAACAATGCACATCTCGTCCGAAAAGGGCATACCAAATTCACTTTCGTCACGACATACGAACGAGAGAGCATATTCTTGATCAATCAAAAAGAAACTCAGCAACCGCTTTGCGGAGGGACTCAGCAGCGGTACAACCAATTGAAAATGCTCATTCTTAAAGTCCACCACCATTTCCTTATAGTCGTTGTGCTTGTTCTTCACTAAACCGATCTGATTCATTAAACGTATATAGGCGATGCCATGTTTGTCCGCCTCCATGACGTGCACAATAACAGGTGAGCGTAACTTTTCAAAGGATGTAAAATACACCTTGCCATCATGGGTGCCCACAGCTGCGTAGGGTAGCGAATTGTGCGAAGCAACGCAAGCACCTTCGGGTATGTGCAACGACGAATACTTGGTATTGTGTATAATTTCTATGGCGCATAAATAGTTGTCTCTCGTAAGAACGAGAAGATTCTCCTCTTTCACACCCTTTAACACAGCGAAATCTTCCACTCTATAATTGGAAACGGAAAAATCAACCAGCGTGCTGCTATAGTTGCCCGTCTGTAGTTGATACAAAGAGCCCACATCATCGGCGACGTAGGTTTCACCAGCAAAGTTCGAGACAATCTTTCTTATTGGCACTTGTAAGTCCTTCAGCACCCATTCAACGGTCCAAAGATTACGTTTGCGTGTTATTAATGTCACACTATTGACGCAGGTCACCATAAGACCATGCTTATGCGGATATAAGGAGTAAGCCTGTGGTTGCTCCTGATTCGAGAATGTGGTGCCCCATTGGCGTAGTAGAAAGAATTGCGCAACTTCAACCTGCCAAATGTTTAAAGTAAATTTCAATTTCTCATCGCTTTCTTCACATTGATGCAAATAACTTACGCTGAAGACAACACCGAAATCGTTCACAACATACATCACATCATCCAGGGAGCACATTGAGAATTGAGTACTCAACAAATTCGATTTTTGCAATTGTATACGGGATATTTCATGTAGCTTCATCGCCTCGGCTGAATAATGCATTTCCCAAAAGACAATCGCTTTATCGAATTTCGAATATTGCATGATCATAGGCCAAGTACGGCTGGAGCAATGTACGGCGTAGGATGAACATTTGATGCCTGTAGCGACTTCTACGAGTAAATTACCGGTACGACAATTCCAAATGCGAAAGGTATAGTCCGGGAATCCGCTCAGTGCGATGAGTAGATCATTGTTAGAGAAGATAATATCAACGTAGCTGACCACACTCTTAGCTGTTCAGGAGGGAAGCACATTAAACAAAATGAAAACATTATGACATATTAATGTTCAGTCTCTTCTCTCTACTCTACTCCAGCCCCCTTTGAAAAACACCAAAAAGTAAGTACATATAATTAAACTTCGCGAAAGGTTGGATTAAGGATATAATTTAGTGGATCATTTGACGAGCGCACAGTGGGACGCAGTTAAAATGAAACGTCATAAACTGGCGAACTCGTTTAACGATGGAACGACGTTTCTTCACCCCGCTATGAAAAAGGCCGAGCAGCTATTGGCTGCCTGAAGAACAATACAGCAGCGGAAGCTGATTGCTTATCCGGTGAGACATTCAACTACGCCAACAAAGGTGCTGGTATTAGCTTTTTAAGCCGATCGGAAGTATTCCGGATGAATACCATCCAATTATCGTCTTATTTTATCACTATTTCATACAAGGTCTTATCGAGCTTACCCTCTAGTTATTCACTTAGTTCCAAATCTTGGAAAAGCTCAAGAGTAAAAGGTCAATAGCACGAAAAGAAGCAGCCTCGATACCCTTAAGTCTGGGTTTGGTATGTCCGCAAAACTTATAAGACTATATATACTGAGACTTTAGAAAAGATGGCACCTTAACGTATGATTTCTCAATCTTAATATATACAAGTGGAAGGACCTACAGTTTACACTAAGCCGCCTTCGAACGATTGATGGATTTTTATGAGGAGCCTTTTTTCATGTCAGAAATACACTCGGAGAACTTGAAATTTCGTGCTGAGGGGAGGCGGGGCCGCAACAACACTCCAATACTCCACTGGAATCAAATCAAGAGGATGACAACCACACCGTCGAAAAGGTCAGGTAGTGTTGGATCTTGCTTCACTCAGTAATTCCTATTGGGGTCGCACGAAGAAAAGTATAAATAAATGGTGCACTGTTGTTACCTTGGTTATTAGCGCGTAAGCAAGAGAAGTCTCCAACGTTAAGAGCTACTGCCATTCGGAAGGCTCGGGTTCAAATTCCCGTGCGACCAACATCCAAAAGTTATAGAAAATTTTTTTAAATAAGAAATTAAGTTAAATTTTCTAAATGCGGTCTCCCCTCGGCAGGGAATGTCAACCCCACCGAGTGTATTTCTGACATGAAAAAAGGCTCCTCATAAAAAAACCATCAGCCGTTCGGAGGATGCTTAATTTAAACTGTAGGTCCCTCCATTCGTTCTAAAAACATCAAGAAGCAAAGCCATCAAATGGAGAAGGAGCTCGGCGGAAAATCGCTGCATCCGTTACAAAGCGCAAATGATTTTGCGAAACCAATTTGGTCCAGTTTTCTAGAAAAAGATTTCATCTTTTTACTCACACATATACTGGACAGACAGACTAACAGGCCATTTCGTCTCGACCATTTTTTTATATATGTTTTTATGTATAATACAGAACGCGGTCTGTCCCTTTGGTATAAACTAATTCGATTACCCTTACGTACAATGCAATTGGAACAGTTTATGCATATCCGGATAGCGTACGATATGTATACTTGGCCGTATCACAGTCTCCGAATAGGCGAACATGGGCAATGAATAATGTCCTGCGATATTTCGTGCGCCCAAGCCGACCGCCGGATTATCAATATTGTAAAACAATTTATTTCGTGTTTTTAAATCCGTAAAGTGTATGGTATTGTCGTGCAATACAGCCAAGGCTTCCTGGCCAATGGTAATTAGGGAATTCGGCGAGGAATAAGTTGCCCATAAACTGAAAGAAATTTTAGAAATTAAATAATATAAATAAGAAAAGATTTTTTTTTTTTTCAAATTACCATGACTGCCATGGCGGCGGATTGGCCATTTTATTGTGTTTTTATGTTAAACAAAGACGATTCTGCTGTTATTTAATATTTTTTATTATAAGTTTAGCGGAGGGAAAATAATTTCAAATTTATCTTCCTTCTTTTGAACGCTATGAAGTTCTCCTTTCAAATGAAATGAAGCTAACAATTTGAAGTAATAAAACCGTTGACATGGAAACAAATGGACTCTCGCTTCATCAAGCAAATAAGGGAAATTGTATTGCTAGTTGCCATGAATATATTTTTTGTTATATATACATATATACATAATTGGCGCTTTCTAACGGCTGAAGCGATTTTTCGGTCGAGCCACTCCTCCAATTTAAGGCTTTGCTTGTTGATGTTTTTAGAACGAATGGAGGGATCTACAGTTTATATTAAGCCGCCTCCGAACGGCTGATGGTTTTTAAGAGGAGCTTTTATTTCATGCCCGAAATACACTCGGAGGGGTGGACATTCCATGCCGAGGGGTAAACGCAATTAGCAAATTTTATTTAATTTTTTTTTTTTATTTAAATTAATTTGTCATAACTTTTGACGGTATATGAGCCCGAACGTTCCGAATGTCAGTACGCAATGCGAACGACTAATAATAGGAAAAATGTTTATAGACAGAATAGCAATAAACGATTTATTTAAAAAAAATGTTGGATCCTCTTGTTCTTGTAGCCGATCTCCAGAAGGGCCTCCAAATAATGATGCCTGGTAGTGAGGGAGAAAATTTCTGCTTCAAATTAACTGAAATTCAAAAGCCAAAAAAGAATTTATGACAGGAAATAAAAGCTACTCATAAAAATCCAATGGTTGTTCGGCGGTTGGCGGCTTAGTAAAAGCTGTAGTCTCTTTTTGAAGAAACATTAAGAGAAAAAATATTCAAGGAAAAACACTGCCGAAAATCTACGAGTATTCAGCGGATCAGAACGGCCAATGGATTTGTATAAGGAGATTTCTTTTTATTTCAGATATACACTCGAGTTTGACATTCCCTGTCGAGAAGCAAGCGCAATTATTACTAACTAATCTATAATTTTTGATGTTGAACGAGCCAGAAATCGAACCCTGGCCTCCAGTATAGCGCCAGGCTATTCCGGCTGCGGATTCCTAATTTAGTTGCCTAAAATTGCTAGGTGATCTTAAATGAATCTTAAGGTTAAGCTCAGCAAATAGGACTGCTGTAATCAACGGTTTAGCTATAGAAACTCCTCCCACATTGGCTTGGGCAGTGCTTATGCCTTTCAAATCGACCAAGGATAGGATCTTGTTTGTAAGGTGCCGAATATTTTTTGCTAAACACAAATCGTCTAGGGCTAATCTGCCCATAGAGCATAGTAAAGGGAGCTTTAACGCTGAACAAAATTTTCTGGTAGTAATCGAAATCAGTGACCATCTCGTTTTGAGCCCAATCACCGAACGTGCGTAGCGCTTGATTATCATTCGGCTTCGATTCTTGCACGAGTTGAATATTTTAAGCACTTTAAACCAAGATTTTAGCGCAAAATATTTCATAAAGTGGACGGGCACAGCTCTGATTGTTGTGCGCGATGCCAAATGGACTAATTCGGTTCTTCTTCGATGCTACGTATGCTCCACAGCAGCAATAGCCTCTTCGGCGCGCACTATACGGTGTCTCTGCGAAGGCGCCCTAAGCACTGCGAAACCGTTTCATGATTACTCGAACTACCCATTCTGCTGGGCGATTATATTGACCGAATATTGGTCACGTCGCCACGTGAACCATTTACCGGAGTAAGTCTGTTCATTATGAAATGGTAAACCAAGCTGAGTATAAATCAAGTAATAACTGCCAAAAGGACCAGTTGTATTGCCTCATTGAAACCATAGGTCTATAAAAAAAGGGCATCCTTTATATTCCCACATGTAAGTGTAGTTCCTAAGCAGATAAGTCAGAAGAACGACACATTTTGTTTTCTTTTTCCAAAATATTAACACAGGATACGGAATTTTTATTCAAGCCATTTACGTAATTTATGTTATAACTCAGACCAAGCTAACAGATATAAACTACATATAACATATAGTGTGAGTAATTATATATATATTTTTTATTTTTTATTAATTTTTTTTTTTTTTTTTTTTTTTTTTTTTTTTTTTTTTCTATTTGATATTCATATTAGTTAGTATTGGTAAAGATCCTCAAGCTGTTTTTAACGTTTGATATTAATAATATATAACCTTTAATACGTTAATACGTGTTCAATAATTGTATATAAACATGAGTGAGTTGTAAAGTTATATAAGATTTGAAGAAGTGCATTTGTTTATTATTTTTTATTTATTTTTTTTTTTTTTGTTCTTTTGGTAAGCTGTAATATATTTGTTTATGTAATATATATAATTCCTTTGAGTATATATGTATATAATTATATAAACAGCGCATTGTCACTGTGTGTGTTAATTGATTACTGGCGATATTTTTATAATATTCCATATATTTTGCATATTTTTTTGAAGACATATATTATATTTATATATATATATTTATATTTATATGGGCTTTATATATTTTCAACACAACACAATAATTATTTGATTAAGTATGTATAAATATTTGTGATTTAATTATTTAAACCTTTGCAATTCAGTTATTCTCCTTAAGTGTGGTAGCCGTTCTTCACTGATGTTGTTTTTGTTTGGGTTGAGCAAAATTATTAATTGATTATTTATGAATACATGTAGACATTTATTTATAAATTCTTTTAATTGTAGCTTATATTTTGTCGTTCTAGTTTTCTCTAATTCTACAAACATCTATATATAGTACTTTTACGTTCCACTATTTTGTAGAACTCTTCCAGGCGCGTAGCCCGTCTACAAAAATCCCTTTCCGTTGAAAACTTTACATTATCCATTTTCGAGTTGAGGTTTTCAAACAATTCCGCTCCACCAGTATCGTTTATTTTGAAAATTTCTTTTGTTGTTGACCTTAAAGCCACAGCAGCCTCTTGCTGCTCACTCTCGTTCTTGATCTGATCCAGATGATATTCCACTATTTGATCGACATTTAGAAATTCGCTAGACACATTTACTGGCCCGTCACCGCTTATCTTGCGTTGTATTTCGCTGCGATAGTAGTCGTTAATCAAGGAGAGCATACCTTTAGAGTACCAATAGATAATGCCCATGAGGAGGACACCCTGCATGAAGGGTCCAACCATGTTGAAGTTTGTTTAATAAAAATCAAATTTATTTTTCGTTATATGTTGAGATCACCTTATTTTTTCTTTTTTTTTTTTGTTAATTATTTTGTTTATATTTTACTTTCATTTAGCGTGGATAAATATGTAAGTGAGTAATATATGTAAGTAAATATGTTCATATTTTGATTAAGTTAAATTACGTATGTAGTTTTATTTTCCTTTAATATGTTTAAATAAATTTTAATATATTTTTCTTTTGTTTTTTATATTTTAAATTACTGCGCCACCTGGAAGGATTCCAACCATTCCCTCAACATATAATATTGCTCTTTGAAATTCGGCCAAGCCATTGTAACAATTAGCATGATGGTATTGGCGAAGACGAAGAGTTTCATTATCTCCACAGCTGTAAAGAGAAGAGATTAAGAGTTATACAAATTTAACGTATAGATTATACTACATATATACACGTATGTATATATATATAATTGACGCTATGCAACGGCTGAAGCAATTTCCTGCCGAGCCGAGCTTCTCCTCCAATTTGTGGTCTTACGTCTTGCAGTTTTTCCAACAAATGGAGGGACCTACAGTTTGTCCTAGGCCGCCTCTGACAGCCTGATGATTTTTTATGAGGAGCCTTTTATTTCATGTCTGAAATACACTCGTAGGGGTGGACATTCCCTGCCGAGGGGCGACCGCAATTAGAAAATTTTGATTAATTTTTTATTTAACTTCATTTTCTATAATTTTTTTGATGTTAATACGACACCAAGATTTGAACCCGAGCCTTCCAAATGGCAGTACGCAATGCTAACCACTCGGTTACCGTAGCCGCCATGCTACATATCCGACGAAAGCATGCCTGACGATGGAAAGTTAAGTATACTCTGCACCAAGTAACGTGGAACTGACGTGGTCTGGGCACCTGGACACAGTGACATACCAGGCATTTGCATGGGAGACCACTGACCACTGTAAAATAATCTGGCCTTTGGCAGGGAAGCAAACACAAGATGGCTGAACGAGATCACGAATAAAGCGACCCGGCAACTATGGCCGAAGCTGGACACGCAGAAATCTAAACATATTATCCATCTAGACCGGTTCTCCATTAACGTGACAACAGGCATACTAACTGGGCACTGTTTAATGGGGCTTATCTGGAAAAGAATGGGTTATTACTCTAAAGATGTTTGCCGCAGCTGTAGGGACGACTACCTCTGTCACTTCCTAGATCTGATATCTGCGCTATACGAATCCCTCGGAAAACACTTCGACTGCCTGGCTACAGTGGAAATTTTAAATTTAGTTGTCTTTATTAGACACATAAAATGGTTCGATCCGTTGGTGAACAGAGGAGCCTCACAGCGGTATCACAATGGGTCTATTGGTATAAGTCGCAACTACACAACTCAACTCAATTACCATGGGATTAGCCTCCTAAATAATGCGATATATAAAGTTTTTTAGTGCGAATAGTGTGAAAAGCTAAAGCTCTGCGACAACATGCTGATGGGCCCTTATTAGTGTGGCCATCATTTACCGGATATTCACCATGCGAAAAATGTTGGAAATCGATACACACCACCTTTTCTACGATTTGCTATGTCTGATTTTGGAATTCATGTCGAACGTATACGACTATGGAAACTAACGCTGAACAGCACCAAAAGCGCAGTCAGAATGAGGAAGGAACTCCTCGAGCCGTTCAAAATCAAACGAGGCATCAGTCAAATTGAACTTTTCATTGTGTTATTGCTCTCTTCTCTTGAAGAAAATAATAAAAATTGCAGAGCTGAATAGGAAAGGCATACTATTTTACAAGATTGTACAACTGCTGGCGTATGCCGATAACATTGATGTCATGGTCTTTAAGAACCGTGTCGTTAGCTTCGCCTTCTTTGAATTTATCAAAAAATCGAATTGAATAGGTCTGGTAGTAAAGGAGGGCCAAACGAAATATCTCCAGTAATCAAACAAAAAGTCACTGTTAAAAGTCATTACTTCGGGGTCGTTGATAATTTCGCCGAACTTGGGATCAGTATTAACACCAATAATAATGTCGGCCATGAAATCCAATGCAGAATAATTCTTGCAAACAGGTGCCACATTTAAGAGAGTAGGCAAGTGAAAAGCTGTCACTCGCCATTCCTGTCCTACTGTATGGTGGACGATATCGACGTCCGAAGAGGCGACCCTGGGAGTCTTCTTAAGAAAAGTTTTGAGAACTATTTATGGACTGGACTGCGGCGAATACGACAGACAAGAGAACCATGTGGGAACGATGACATTGATTTAGTTCAGCGAATGAAGAGACAGCGGATACGTTGGCTAAGTCATGTCGTCCGAATGAATGAAAGCGCTCAAGCTGTGAAAGCATTCGATCAGAAAGAAGAAGACCTCCACTCCGTTGGAACGATCAGGTTTAGAACGACCTGGTTTCACTTGGAATTTCCAACTGGCCGAAAACTACCAAAAAAGAAGAACCTAACGGCGCGCTATTGGTTATTCGTCTATAATCGCAGAAGAAGAAGAGATTTCATGTAAAAGTTGCTCCTGGGTGTGGAAATTGTCGAAAATGTCGATAAAACGATGGAATCTCTCGAGTCTGACCGTTTTGCGAGTAGTGTTCGATTGCGTAAAAGCTAAATATTAAACAAAAAGAATTTGAAGCCACTTGAAAAAGGCTGAATCAGCAAAGAAGCTCTATATATGGGTGATCATTGTGTTAACCGAATTCTTATTAGCCAATCGTAACAAAATCAAATAATTTCTGAACCAAATGATGACTGGTGATGAAAATTAGATCTCTCACAGCAACGTCAAATGAAAGCTGTCTTGGTCGAAGTACAGTTAGCCGGCATAAGGATTGACGGCCAGGAAGATTTTTTTGTGTGTTTGGTGGGATTGGCAAGTAATAATCTGCTATGAGCGGATTTCTTACTGCCGAACTCTTCTAAATCTGCAGTTAGCGATCTCCAAGAAATGCCCAACTTTGACCAACAGAAGGAGAAATTGGTTTCATCAAGAAAACGCCAAACCACACACATTGATAACCACTCGCCAGAAGTGCCGAGTGCTTGATTGGAAGGCATGCACCCTATAGTCCACACCACGCACCAAGTGATTATCTTCTGTACGCGTCTATTACGAGTTATTTGGCTGGTGAAGAATTGGCCTTAAGAGAAGCCTGTGAAAATCGATTGCCCCAATTTTTTGCCAATAGGGTCAAGTACAATTTATAGTAAGACAATATTTTATTCTATGAATAGTGAGTCAACAAAGTATTTTATCGTAATTATATGAGTAAAAAGACACTAAAAGGTGAAACCTGAGGTCATACCAAAATACAAAGCTCTAAAAAGTGCTGTTCCTAAATGTAGTCATTTCTCGGACGATAATGTCAAAGTCTCCCATACAAATTCGTCAGCCTTCTTCTTACTACGGCTCTTCGTAAAATGTTTGGAAAACCCAATACACATCACAAACTGTAGGTGAAGGGTCCGATCTCCTATCCACTGTTCTATATTTTCTTTTTAATGTTTATATACTTATTTTTTATAAAAAAAAAAATTTATTAATGAAATACATACTTGCCTGTTTATAAGCACATATGTATGTATTTATTTATTAACTTTTTTGCTTCTGAAATTTCGGGTAACCTTTTTTTTTTGTTCATAAATATCCTTTTAATTGTTTTTTTTTTTTTTGTTATTTCGTAAAAAGTATTTGTGTCAAAAGTAGAATACCTTCCGGCGAGCGCATGTAATCACCAAAACCAGAATTCAAATCTTTCTCCGAATGCAGCTCCTTGGCCTTATCCGCCTTCAACTTCTCCTCTTGCTTGGCGTCAGCCTCCTCTTGTTTGCCAGCGTTATTGCGATAACTATTCTTCGACTTGCCATACCCCGAGGAGGAGTTGACAAACGCGCCTTTTTTAGGCTTCATTTTGGAACAAAAAAAAAATATATTGACTTTATTACACTTTGCACTTTTGTTCACTGACTCTTGGTTAGCGTTGAGTTGGGAAAAGTATGATCTTCTTCGCTCCACAAATCGCAGCCTATGCAGGCCACTGATTGTTGCGAAAAAGCTCCAACTACCTTGGTTAGTTGTCGCCAACTGAAATTGAAAAATTTCTACGTTGATTTGCTATAGAAACTTGAGCAACGCTAAGGTCCATCTAATGTTTTTTCTTTTTTTTTTTTTTGGGTCACTTACACACTCGCAAAATATCTATGGCTTCCAAGTTGATTTTATCGATTACCTGTTACAACATATTCGTATGTAAGTATGTGAGACGTTTTCTGATGGTAGAAAGTGTAAAGAAAATAGTAAAATATTTTTTAAGTAATGCATTTGTATATGTAACTAATCGGTCAAGTGACTAGTGAAGGAAACCCAAATAACTTAGCAGAGGAGGGGAGGGGATATTGACGTGTTGAATCATTGTCTTTAATTTATATTTAGAAAAAAAAAATTCAAAATAATTTCCTTGAAATTAAAATGCTTTTTAGGCATGTGGTTTTCAAAAAGAAATAAAACGCATATACATAGCTTAATGCTATGGCCAAGAATTTGGCTTCAATATAAAGATAAGGGCTCGCCATTATGTTTTAAAGATGGTTCCAGCCAAGTGAAGCACAATTTTCAACCACTTTTTGCAGCAATTGTTGCCGTCACTCACCGAATATTCTCTTCTAAGGTGTCAATCGTCTCGGGCTTATCTGCATAAACATAACACCGCAAACGATGGCTTGTGGATTGTCACAAGAGAGAGTTACAGACACCATACGGTGGTCAATCTCTTGTTGTTCAAGTATCATCGACATAACGGTACTCGTATGCTACAGGGAAACAAGCATAATATTTTTTACCACCCTTTACGTCGTACACCATTCAGCAATACTCAATAGAACCGCTGGAAGCAGACAGGACCAGCTCATCGTTCATTAAAAGTCCATCGAAACCTGCTGAACCGATTTTCGTGCGAGCTCCTGCTCCAATTTGTGGTATGTGTGTTGATGTTTTCCAACAAATGGAGGGACCTACACTTTTTTCTGAGTCACGCGATGGATTTTTATAGGGAGCTTTTATTTCAAGTCACAAATGCAGCCAGACATTCCCTGCCAATTGACGACCGTACTTAGAAAAATTATTTTTTTTTATATAAATTAGTGTCAATTAACACCCACCTCCATTTTACTTCCGTAAATGGCGTTATTGATGTCCAATCCACGCGCCTATTGCAGTTGAAGATCTGGAGCGTGAAGCCTCAATAATCCAGATTGAACTGAATCTATAGCAAACTCCGACTCCGACGTAATCATTCAAAGTGTCACCACCAAATACTAGCCACTTCTACGTATGTCCTCTTAAACCAACTCATCCTACACCATTTTCACTTTGGGCCGAACCTGCCGAAACAAATGATAGAAACTGAAGCAACTTATAACAAAATGGCAGTGGTAGAGCGACATAAACAACAAAGCCCAACTGTTGCAAACGAAAAGTTCGAGCTACCCCGGGTGACTTGAGTAGTTACAGTATCTTTTAAGATCTGGATATTGTAGCGAAGTTAATTCCTGCATAACCTCACTTAACCCCGACATACCTAACGACATGAGCAACCTCTTTGCATGCGCTTTAAAACCCCTTCACCACCCAAACCCCAATTTACCACTGATCCGGATCCGTTAAAACACCTCTAGGATCTCCCGTTAGTTGACCTACTAATCGCACTTGCTCTTAAGCGGGGTTAGAGTACCGCTATAACAACTACAAAAACAACTTCCTCACTTCAAAAGTTAGAAAGAAAAAAATGTCTCTCATAATTTGTAGTTGCATTAGATGCATTTTTTTTATTTTCATTTATTGGCATAATTTATTAAGAGTATGTATGTAATATAACTGCAAAACCGTTAACGCTAATTTGTAGCATAATACAATGAAATTGCAAGACTGTTAAATAAGAAAAAAAATCACTGGCTAACAGTTTTTTTCTGTTTTTTTTTTTGACTTTTCAACTTAATTAAAATATATATAAATAAAAATATATATATTTGCAAGCATATAATTTTACATATATATATATACACACTAGATATATTACGTAGAGCTAAAGTGTACAGAACCTTTAGCGTTTTTAATTTATTAAACTGCATACATACGAGTATATACATACATATATATCTACGTTTAGCACTCACTAACTCACTAGCTTCGGTGCTATTAATTTGAATTAGACTGTCTATTGCAATTGTAAATATGTATGTGTGTGCTGCATAATTTTATACAATATATATTTATATGTATGTATATTTTGTGTACATACTTTCAGATATAAGAGTTATTTTACAAAATTTTCACCTACTAAAGCACAATCATCTCAAACGAAACGTAAATAATCCAATTACATACACGCATACATACATAATAGATACATAAAAACAAAGAAAATACAATAATAATTTAAAAAAAAAATACTATTCTTCTCTCATAATTGCTGAGAAAGTACAACTTTTGTGAATTTTCTTCAAAGCGAATATGAAAAACTCGCAAAGGATGATCAAAAGTAACAAAGTCACAACGCTGATTATGAGCTTTAAAACAGAAACTGTTGCTGTTGTTGTAGCAGTACGCAAACCCCAATTCTCAAGACAACCGTTTCTGCGTACCAGAGTTAACCCGGATTTTATCCGGCCAAGGGCTGTCACCCTTTCGGCAACCAAGGCCCGTTTAGGTCGAAACAGAAACTGTAATCATTACGAGTGATAAAATACAAATCAAAATTTGGTGATTGCTCATTGATTTATATACATACTCGTTACATATGTATATTAAATCACCTTAGATTTCAAAAAGGGTGTCCAAGTGGTAAACTTCTGGAGGAATCGTCTTGTTTATGTGGCTTATCTAGGTGGACAGTTTTTTTTTTTTTTCGTTACAAAAAATTAGATAATCATTCTTTACAGTGTCTGCTTTAACTATTTTCGAACAAACAAAAATTTAGAAAATTCTTTTGTCACTTATTTGAATAAAATATAATGTTTGTCATAAAAAAGAAGAAGAAAAATCAAAAAAATTGCGAGTAATATTTTTTATTGCAATACATTACAAGTAAAGTTGTATGTATGTACGCAACTAATATTTTTCTTTCATAATAACATTTATTTATTATAGTAGTATATAATTTTTTTCTTTAAAATTAAAAACAAATGCATTTGAATTGTTAATTTCAATTGTCAAAGTTCGTCTTGCTTTTCATTTGTTTATACATGCCTACGATTCTTGCTTATTTTATTCGCAAAATTATGTTTTCTACCTTTTCTACTAGATATACATACATGCATATATATGTTTATTTCCTTATGTATAATAGTATTTAATATAGAAGATATGCAATATAAATTTAGATTAGCAGCCAAAAAAAAGCACAGTCACACTTTGGTCAGTTATACACACACACACACGCGCGCACATACATATGTATTTATATTATTACTTTTTTTTTAACTGCATGCATTTACCTGTACCATTTTTTGCTTTGTTTTTTTTTTATTTTTTTTCTTGGTTTTTTTTTTATGAATTCTTGTGCGTTTCATTTCAGTATAGTTTGGTTTCAATTATTTGTTCTCCTCTTCCTTGCGCTTTTAATTTACCATTCTTTACAATACTTTTATATATTTATTTATTTTTCTTAAACTCCTTTTTAAACATCTCTTAGCTACTACTACATGTCCACTTTATATTTCATACACATTGATTCATGATAGTTGCGTGCGTTTGATTTTTCATTTACATACATATATATTTGCATTATGAAAGCGATTTATTGGCGCAATAAAACTTACGCTCTTCCAAGATTTACAAATATTATCGACTGAGTTTATTTAACCTGAGCTGTCCCATTTGCGTAGAGGTAATCGATTAGACACCTTCTCTATGCACTTATTTCTTTTACTATTTGCTTTTTTTTTACTAAATTTTTGGCAAAGTTGAAACTGTGTTGATGTCGAATTTAATAAGGGATTAGTGGTTGTATAAAATAAGTACTGCTAAAAAAGCAAAAAAAAAAAGAAAAATTCAAAAAAAATTTTAAAAAAAAAAATTTAAAAAAATATAAAAAAAATTTTTTTTTTAAATTAAAAAAAAAAAAATTTAAAAAAAAAATTAAAAAAAAATTTAAAAAAAAAATAAAAAAAAATTTTTTTTTTTTTAAATTTAAAAAAAATCTAAAACAACAAATTTTACGAAAAAAGTGGTAAAAAATAAAATTTTATATTATATGTATATATATATGTACTTAAATGCCCTTAATTTAGCACATTTTCCAATAATTAACGCAATTTAGGCAGTTACTCTTTACATTTACACATTTTTAAGTTGCAAACAAAAATTGTACATATTTTATTTTATTTTTAATTACTTTTTTATCAATATAATGTAAAATTTTAAAGTCTGAAAAAAATTAATTTTTTTAATATATTTAATTTTTATTTAAAAAAAATTCCACTAAATTTTTTCATTTAAAATATACTGAAAAATTTGAAAATTCGGAAAAAATTAGTTTTCTTTTCTAAATTTATTATTTTGAAACAAAAGTGTGTCAACAATATTTTATTAGTAATTAGTTTCTAATTTTAGAAATAATAAGCGGATTATTCTCTTCTTTTTTATTTTTACATACATTTTTAAACTATTACAACAAATCTAATTATTTTTAAAACATGGTTAAAAGCGCGTGTTACTTAAGACAATTGATATAGTAAATATTTAGTTTATTAAATAAATTGAAAGAATGAATTTCTGTTTTGTTTAGATGAGGTATTAATCATACAAATTTTAATTTTTATAGAGAGCAGAGCAAAAAATCGGACTTTCAATTAAGAGCCTTAGTTAAATTAAATAACGCTAGACAATACATAATCAAATACATGATTTCGGACCAAAACAAGTTGATTTAAAAAATATTTGACTATTGCCACATTTTGCTGTTCGGTTTAGTCGCTACAAAACTTGATCTCATAATTATTTACATGAGCGTAAATTGAGCTTAAAATAATTTATATGATAATTAAATTTTTTCTCAAAGTCTCTTTGTGAATTAATATGCACAGTCATAATAAATAATTTAAGAAGCAAAATTAGTTAACTTTTTCTTTTGATACTTTTTAAATTTTTCAAATACTAAAATTTTAACGAAAATTACTATTTGTGATGCACGCACAAGTAACATGTCTTTTGACACATTTTCAAAGCTCTTTGAAGCTCTTTGTAGGCAGCAGTGAAAAAAGCTTAACATTTATTTTCAATGTTATTTTTTAAATGCCTGAAAATTTGTTTTATTTAATTTTACATTGATATTTTCAACCAAATGAATTAGTTAGAATTTACTTTTATTATTATTTTTAAAACATTTTGAATTATCACTTAATTTGGCCTGTTGCAAAGCTACTTTGGCCCAAAAAGGGAAATGATTACTACAAATTTTGGCCTTTGCAAAACAGTTGTATATTTTTTTTAATTAAAAGCATAATTTAGAAAATTTCTCTGCGATTTAATAGCATTTTTATACCATTATAGCAAATATTAAAATACTTAAATGCATATTTTTTATATTGCTTGTTTGCCAAGCTAACATGCTTCAAGAATAATAAACACAAAACATAATAAAAAAATGTATTTAAAATAATTTCTAAAATTTTAAAGGATTTTTTATCATCTTACTGCTAAATGATAATTGTCACACGGCAAATTTTATAAACAAAATACATATACATACATATGCATGAATAATTTAGACAATATAATTAAATTTTCATTAGAAAAATACTAGTAGATCATTTCGCAGCACATTTTGCTTTCACACAGTTTCAACTTTTCTTCTTTTTTTTTTTTGTTCTGCCGAAGCAAACGCAATGCACAATATTTATATTATATTTACAAAAACACAATGCAAATTCTTGTTTAACAGTTTACTGCACTTAGTTAGTTGTGTGTGTGTGTGTGCATACATATGTAAATATCCCTCTGTGTGGGTGTGTGTGTGCATAATTCTTATATAACTACAAACAAATGCGAACTCGTTAACAGCCTAACGCACTTAATCTGTTGGTTTTTTCACCAACGTTGGCGGCGGTGGCGCTGGCACTGTAGGACGCTTAGTCAATATCATATGTGGCGAAACGGGTGTTGTGGGTGTGTTGCGTATTATCGGCGCCGGCGTTTGGGTCTGCGCTTGTGCCGTACTCACTGCTGATGTCGCTGTTGTCGATGTGGGTGTATTCAAAGTTTCGGTTTGCTGTTGTTGTTGTTGTTGTTGTGAAGGTGCGCATATATTGGCATTCGTATTTGAATTGGACCGAGAATGACCACCAAGACTGTAGACACTGCCAATGCTGTTTCTGTTGCTGCTGCCGCCGCCGCCGCCCCCAATACCAGCGTTATTTATATTTGCATTTTGTTCCGTACTCAAACGGCGTTGATTGTGTTGGTTTTCACGTGTTAGTGTCGCTGCTGCGTTATCACAGTTTTCGCTGCGTAGCTTCTCGATGAATTTTTCAGTGGTGCGTGATACAATACCAACACCAGCACCATTGCTGCCACCAACCCTGCCATTACCCATTTCATTGGCTTGCGTTTGCGTTGGTGTAGTCTCATCATCACTTTTACTGCCACCATTACCGGTGAGCCCCAACACCATTGGCCGTTTTGGTATTTTTGGCTTTTGTGGCAAATCTGGCTTGAAGGTTAGTGATGCTACACTATCACCACTCTTGCGATCCGCTACAGGTGAGGGTAAATTATCCAAACCGAAGAATTGTGTACGTGTCATGGGTACCGGTTTGGCCGACTGAGGCGGATCTGGCGGTGGCATTTGTTGTGTAAGTGGCTGCTGGAAGGGTGACAATTTTGGCAATGGTGGTTTCTCGGGCCTATCGGTGCTGTTATTACTAGAACCGTTGTTGTTATTATTAGGATTATTATTGTTAGTAGCTGCTGATGTGGTAGCTTTTGTTGTTGTTGTGTTGGGAAAGAGCTCCTTGCCGCGCGAGTTCACGTCACCATTGCGCTGCGCTTCATACTGGGGAGTATATTTTTCCACCACTTTTGCGGCGCTTGGCGGTGATGGCGCACAGGCTTTTTGCCGACGTATCGTGCCGTATCGTGGACTCTCAAGCGAATCTGGAAGAGTTGAATTTGAAAGTTAGTCAAATAAAATAATTGTTTTGAATTAGTGTGCACCATTGTGGTGCGGTAGTTCTAGAGCTAATGGGAAAAAGTAAATAAGTAAGTACAGATATGTGCACTCACCCGTGTCATTTCGATCTAAATTTTCGTTAGAGGAGCCAGATTTACTTTTACCCTCCATAAAAAGTTTACCACGCACCAGCGTCACAAAGAACTCTACATCCCCATCAAAGAAATAATCCCATTGACTAATTAACAGTTCCACGATCACATTCACCGCCGATGTACTGTTCACCTGACCAACATAGTCAGCCGGATTGCCCTTGTCTACACGCGGCCACAACATATTCGGCGACATAACAATCGCCACATTTTGCGAAGTCATCTTATTTTGGTCTACATTCTGTGTGATCAGCCAGAGAAAGCGTGTCAGGTAGCGCAAATTCGCATAATTTGCCGCTGGTAATTTGGCCAGTGTCGCTTTGATGGCTGCTTTACGCTCCGCCTCATTGCCACATTCCGTTGCACGTATAAAGTCATTGTAGTATTTATAGGTGAGCAACGGTTCGGGCAGATCACGCAAATATTGCCTGAGTACAGCACCAATAACATGCGGATCCTGATATTCTAGGGGTAATGGTGTCTTTATATATTGTGCCTCAAGCGCGTGTTTCATGCGTCGGAATTTTGAAGTTGCACAACCCACACGCAGTATACCCTCCTCATAGATACCATTCTCTATGAGACAACAAACGCATAGCTCTATAATGTAGGAGATCTCACGATTCGTCGATTCTAAATGCTCTATCAGCGGGGTGCCAAAACGTGATTTCACCGTAGATTGTATTATATCTTGTATGTTGGCGAGAGAGCTGTTAACCTTCTGTAACGCACGCTCGTGATAGTTACGCTGGTAGAGCACATAGTCACGTATGCATTCGACGATAACGTCTTCTTTGGTGATCAGCTCGAACATATGTCTTGCCAGCGTGTCGCGCTCCTTATCTAACTTCACTTCGCGTTGTTCCATTAGGTCTTTGAGGCCACTGATTTTAGCTGGTGCCTCGTCTAAACGAATGGCGGCCTAAAAGAAAAAGTTTAATTATTTCAATGATTTGATGGCAAAATAAATCTTTCAATCAAATTACAATAAATACATACAATAAATACATACAATAAATACATACAATAAATACATACTGTATGTAGTTTTTATTGTAATTCTTCAAAAAGTTTATTGACTTCTGATGATAGTTCAATTAAAAGTTGGAAATAATTTTGCGACATTGTTTAGTAGTAAAAACATTACCACAACATCTCCTCTTCTCTTATCACGTTCGCAATTTTATTTGAATAACACTTTCATACAGTCAAAAGCCAGCGCCACATAATCCATATTCACCTTCACAACACCTCCGTTGTGCATTGCACTTCAAACAAATAAGATAAGCGAAAATTTCGTAAATTTGCTTTTATGACCCAATCAATGGCAGTGACATCAGACACAGAAGTAAAACCCAAAAACAACAGAAGTTTTCAAAATAAAAAACACAGAAACAAGTACAAGAAAATCATAAAAATAGCAAAATGCAATTCGCCAGCAAATCGGATTAAAACTCTGCCTTGCAAAAGCTGAAACTTGCGGCTGCTGCTGAACAACAAAGGTTGTGGCGAAGGGGATAGGATGGAGATTATGAAAGTGCAAATTTAATCAACGAATTGCTGACTCAGCCAAATGAATAATCGCATGTATGTGTAGCCACATAAGTCAGAAATAAATAAATATGATTTAAATATTTAAAAATAATAAAAATAATAAATAGTATTTTGTATTTTTAGTTGATTGACTAACAATCTTATGAGTAAAGTGTTGGACAAAAAAGTGAGCGCATTGCTATAGGTAATAAAATTATGTATGGGTGATTTCAACCCATGTGGCGTTGCTCCTGAAGTTAGTATTGACATCACGCTTATACCAGTGGAAACTAAGTTTGTAAAATGGCTGAATAAATGGCGGGCTTATACAACGCAGGATATGGATAAATAACGTCATATATTGGAAAAATTATGATTTCTTTTTACTACACCTAAAATATATACATACTCGCGAATATAATAAAAATTATCATGACTCCAATTTATCATCAATATTTTAAGCTAAATTAATAAATATTTGAAATCTGTGAAACTTACACTACTAATAAAAATAATAATAATAAAATTTTGTATAAGTTTGTTTGAGAGACCGTTTATACTAGATTTATTCTTTTATTAAATTAATTATTTTTATGAATTTTTTTTATTCATTTTTTTATAAATATTTTTTATTTTTTTTTATGAACTTTTTTTAATCATTTTTTTATAAATTTATTTTTATTTTTTTATAAATTTTTTTTATTTTTTTTTTATAATTTTTTTTATTTTTTTTTTATAATTTTTTTTATTTTTTTTTATAATTTTTTTTATTTTTTAATAATTTTTTTTATTTTTTTATAATTCTTTTTTTTATAATTCTTTTTTTTAAAATTTTTTTTTTTTTTTTTTTTTTTTTTGNTTTTTTTTATTTGTTTATAAAATTTATTTTTTATTTTTTTTTTATAATTTTTTTTTATTTTTTTATAATTTTTTTTATAAATTTATTTTCATATTTTATAATTTTTTTTTTATTTTTTTATAATTTTTTTTTTTTTATAATTTTTTTTATATTTTTTTGTTTTTTTTTCAATTTTTTTTTATTTTTTAATATTTTTTTTTAATTTACTTTTTTATTATTTATATACTTTTTTATTATTTATTGAGTTTACTATTTTATTTGATTTTATTATTCTTTCTTATTTTAATTTATTTTTTTTTAATTCATTATTATTATTTTTATTTTTATTTATTTTTTTATTTTATTTTATATTATTTATTTTTTTAATTAATTTAATTAATTTAAATTTATTTTTTTATTCTATTTTAATTTTTTATTTAAATTTATTTTTTTATTTTATTTTAATTTTTTATTTATTTTATTTTTTTTATGTTATTTTAAATTTTTTATTTAATTTTTATTTTAATTTAATATAGTTTTTATTTAATTTATTTATTTCTTTTTTCTCTTTTATTTGTATTTCTAATTTTTTTGAGTTCAGTAAACATTCAACCAAATTAAATACAAGAAACAGTTTTTATTGTTATTTCTGCCAATCTTATTAAAAACTGAAAAGAAATCCAAATAAATTAGCACTTCCTTATAAGATCCAAGAGCAAAGTAACAATAACAGGAAACTGTCGTCATATACACGTAGAAGAAGAAGAGTGTTAAAACTCCAAAAAGAGAATACAGCTATAATATTATTAAATATAAAGTTTCCAGTTAACTCAAAATATATTACTTTCGGATATAAGTTATAGAGGAAAATTGTATAATTTATTCAGTAAAATACTCGAGTGAATTCAGTAAAAAAAGAGAGGAAGCAAGAAAAACAAAGAACATAAAAATATAAAAAATATAAGCAAATGTGAAATAAAGCCATAAAAACTTAATTTAATATGCACGAACCTATTGTAGATGTTTATATACGTGTACATATGTATATATATATTCGTATGTATGTCTAATATTCTTATTATATTCTGATACACATGTACAATACTATACACTATATGGATGTTCTCAATATTTCCATTTATTACGGCAGTTTGTTGACACCATTTCCATTAAGTAGCCAGATATGTACATATGTACATACGTGTAAGTACTGTGATTGATAGACATTAAGACTAAAAATTATTTTGGCCAATTTAACACTTTTATTGGCATTTATAAAAAAAAAGTTTGCAACAGCTAACAAAATGATTGTAAACACTGGGGCTGCCATATAGGGCAAGCGGACTTCCTTCAGTTCAGTTAAAAGACAAATGTTCACACCACACACAAACATTCGAGTACATGTGCATGTATGTACATATGAGCATTAAAAATAAACTTTAAATGAAAAAAGAAATAAAAACGAAATTCAACAATATGAAATGTGTACAAAATAAATAAAAGCAAAAGCAATGCGAAAACTCTTCCAAAGACACAATTTCAAACGAAAATCGTTGAAAATAAGAAAATCAGTTTTTAAGCCGATTAAACGGTTAAATTAGTAAATGATGGTGACGAAATGCTGCTTCTTTTTGTGGACTGAACTTAAATACTTTGCTAAAATCGTTAGCAGCACAGAGAAGAGAAGGAGAAAAACTTAAAATATTTAGAAGAGTAGAATTGCTAAGGAAAGACCGTAATATACAATTTAGCTTCTTAACGGGGTTCACAGCTGAAGAAATTGTTTTTTGTTGTTGGTTTTATTATTATTACTCAAAATTTTCAAGTCGATCCGAATAAGAGCATCGGAGATACAGCATTGGCAAGGTACACCCTCAAATGAGCTCAAACTTTAAACGCGTTTCGGTTGTCTCGAAAACTACTGAGCCGATCTTCGAGTTACAATTCACGAGAAATTGGATGAAGAATTTTTCTTTTTTTTCAATCACAACTATTTAAAAAAAATGTGTTGAAGAAATTCAAAAAAATTTATATTTTTGTGGAAAAAAAACTGTCAATAATCCAATTTTCTCTTATTTTATTTTCTTTCGTCCAAAATTCTAGTTTATGGTATTTACTAAAACACGCTTTTTTATTTCTCTTCTTCGTAAGATCATGCCATGAATTCCATCGTCAATGCAGACGCATATTTTTCCGAGAGGTTTCCGAGTTATAAATGTTATTCTTGGAAATTGTCAGAATTTTGTTTTCAAATGTATATCTTTAAGACAGTAAATATTTCACAGAAAATATTTTATTCTTTATAAAAAAATTGTAACGAAAAAAACCCATAAAATTACTTCACAACTTTTGAAACGACTATTCAGACAACAACGGTGTTTTTATCTTCAGCTTAAGAATAGTATCCAGATACTCCGCACTCTAGCCAATTAAAGGATTAGCTGCTACGAAAACACTAGGAACGTCTAGTTGCAATTTATTTTTTTTTTTTACGACGAACACAAGGTTACCCACCTCCCGCGCCCCTGAAGGACAATCGAAAAACCAAACAGATCGGTGACCGAAACCAGTGGCAGTCCGGACTGCTTCGAACCCGACACCGATCGCGAAACGTCGCAGTTACACCTGCCTCTTACACTAAAATGAGAAGGAATTATTTAATTATTTAAAGCTCTGAGTAAATAGGTTTGTACATAGAAAATCGAGTCAGAGGAATCAATGTTGGCGGAATGTGCATTAAAAGATCTAAAAGGGTCGAGGATTTCTAAGTTAGTTCATGCATGAACACAATGAAAGGATGTAGATGATCTTGAAGAGAGGCTATCAATTCAGTTAAAAATAAAAATCCAAGCATCTTTGGACTACTATGGAGTGTAGGCAGATTAATGAACCGTAAACGAAGGCAATTTCTTATTCGCGTGCCAGCTTATATTTCTTAACGCGAACAGTAGGAACTGTTTTAGGTCAACTTGCAAAAATTCTCTATATTCAATAGAATAAACTAATTTAAAGAGTTGGACATTATCTGCGCACATGAGCATTTTAGAATGATGAACAATATAAGGAAGGGCCGAGGTGACTGCCTTGAGGAACACCAGATGTTCCTGCTATTTCACATGATAAACAAAATTTAAAACTTACTTCTTGTTTTGTACCAATCAAGTACGATGAAATCCACTTGAGAAAAGAAACAAAAAAAGGTGGGAAAAAACCGCAAATGATCAAGTTTAAAGTGAAGTAAAGAAAGTAAAGAATGACAGACCTTGTCACATGCTTTGCTGAAATCATTATAGATAACATCAGTTTGATAACCATTTTTGAAGTCATTACTGACATGGGCTATAAATTCTAGCAGCCTCATTATTCATTAGTTTAACACAAAAGACGCTTAAAGAAAAAGTTCTGCATCTATCGAGAAGATTGCGATGCTCCTAAAATGTCTGTTTCAGAGGAGACTGAAGCCCTTGTTGCCTTTAATAAATTCTGTATGTTATCGCTCTCAAAAGGGTTTATATTATAACAGCTAAACATAGATACCCAGGTTTTCGATA